ATACATTAACTAATAGTTTCATTAAGCATTAAATTGGGCTCTGAACCTCTTGATATTCAAATTGAAAAGGAAACAAGGTAGGCTATAAAATTTTCAGTGCCAGATAGAAGACAGAATGAACATCATGTCAGATTTCCTTCACATTTTTCTCTTCCTACATGCTGTCTCCATTGCACGTTATTTAAATAAATAATCAACAAGATCCTGAAAGATAATTGGTACTGGCTATTTCTTGCTTTCAAGTTAAGATAGATCTTTTTTTTCTTTCAAACTTTTATTTAATGAATATAAATTTCCAAAGTACAGAATATGGATTACAATGGCTTCCCCCCCATAACGTCCCTCCCACCCACAACCCTCCCCTTTCCCACTCCCTCTCCCCTTCCATTCACATCAAGATTCATTTTCGATTCTCTTTATATACAGAAGATCAGTTTAGCATACATTAAGTAAAGATTTCAACAGTTTGCTCCCACACAGAAACATAAAGTGAAAAATACTGCTTGAGTACTAGTTATAGCATTAAATCTCAATGTACAGCACACTAAGGACAAAGATCCTACATGAGGAGTAAGTGCACAGTGACTCCTGTTGTTGACTTAACAAATTGACACTCTTGTTTATGGCCTCAGTAATCACCCTAGGCTCTTGTCATGAGCTGCCAAGGCTATGGAAGCCCCCTGAGTTCACTGACTCTGATCATATTTAGACAAAGCCATGGTCAAAGTGGAAGTTCTCTTCTCCCTTCAGAGAAAGGTACCTCCTTCTTTGATGACCCATTCTTTCCACTGGGATCTCACTCGCGGAGATCTTTCATTTAGGGTTTTTTTTCCCCAGAGTGTCTTGGCTTTCCATGCCTGAAATACTCTCATGAGCTTTTCAGCCGGATCCGCGTGGCTTAAGGGCTGATTCTGAGGCCACAGTGTTGTTAGAACATTTGCCATTCTATGGGTCTGCTGTGTATCTCACTTCCCATGTTGGATCATTCTCTCCCTTTTTGATTCTATCAGCTAGTATTTGCAGACACTAGTCTTGTTTCTGTGATCTCTTTGGTTCTTAGTCCTATCATTATGATGCATTGTGAACATAAATTGATCACTGGGACTAATGAGATGGCATTGGTACATGCCACCTTGATGGGATTGAATTGGAATCCCCTGGTATGTTTCTAACTCCACCGTTTGAGGTAAGTCAGCTTGAGCATGTCCCGAATTGCACATCTCTTCCCTCTCTTATTCCCACTCTTACATTTAACAGCAATCACTTTTCAGTTAAGTTTCAGCACTTAAGAAGAATTGTGCATTGATTACAGTATTCAACCAAAAGTATTAAGTAGAACAAACAAACAAAAAAATACTAAGAGGGATAACATATCAAGTTGCTCATCAACAGTCAGGGTGAGGGCTGATCAAGTCACCATTTCTCCTAGTGTTCATTTCACTTTAACAGGTTTCCTTTTTGGTGCTCAGTTAGTTGTCACCTATCAGGGAGAACAAGTGGTATTTGTCCCTTTGGGATTGGCTTATTACACTCAGCATAATATTTTCCAAATTCCTAACAGGGATCACTTTTCAGTTAAAATTTAAACACCTAAGAATAATTGTGTGTTAATTACAGAGTTCAACCAATGGTACTAGAACAAAATAATGCTAAAATGGATAAAGTATTACATTGTACATCAACCATCAGGACAAGAGCTGATCAAGTCACTGTTTCTCATAGTGTCCATTTCTTCTCCTTTTCCATTTTTCTTTCTTTTTTCCTTTCTTTCCTTTTGTTTCTTTTGTTTTAAAAACTCCTTGATGAATTGCTAGTGTGTGATTCTGATATAGTATATGAAACCTGAATATCTATCTCAAAATTTATTCACAGTGAGCATGTGTTTATTTTATTACTGGAGAAAGTAAACATTAATATAACTGCTATATAATATGGACAATATATTTCAAAAATGTATAGAGGGGTCAGGCACTGTGGCATAGCAGGTTAAACCTCTGCTTGTGGTGTCTGCATCTGATATCAGACTGCCAGTTCAAATCCTGGCACCTCCACTTCCAATCCAGCTTCCTGCTCATATATCCATGGGAGGCCACAGAATGACGATTTAAGTGATTGTGACCCTGCCACTCATGTGGAAGATCTAAATAAAGTTCTAGGTTCCTAGCTTCAGCCTGGCCCAAACCTGACAGGTGCAGGCATTTTGGGGAGTGAGAGGTTGAGAGATTCTCTTGCGCTCTCTCTCTGCCTTTCAAATGGATGAAAATAAATAAACAAATTGACTACAATTTTTAAAGTATAGGTTTTTTGTGTCTGAATCATTTAATTATTTTGTGAGACTACAAAATTGAACTAGTTGTACTCATAAACATGTGATTGATTTTAATGTTTTGAACAATGTTTTCTGGGATTTGGATTGGGGGTATATCAACAGCATTATTATATTTGACATATTAGTGAGTATCTATTATATAATTAACTCATGTTAATGACTGATTGCCTTCTATGATACTATTTTGAAAATTGTAAGCAATCAGCTAAATGAACGAATCAACATGGAATAAACCTCTCATTCTATTTAACATGTTTTGTATAGAATATAATCCAACTTGGAAGGAGGTCTGTGGTTTGCCCTAGATCATTCAAATGCTCAGGAGATGACAGTGTGTTCCAAACAAAAACAAATGCCAAAGACAATGAGGTATATTACATTGCAATGATTGTATAGAGTAAACTGAGTAAAATCAAGACATATGGACAGATAGGTATACTCAAGTAAACTTCTCCATCCACTTTTTTTTAATTTTTTTTTTGACAGGCAGAGTGGACAGTGAGAGAGAGAGAGACAGAGAGGAAGGTCTTCCTTTGCCGTTGGTTCACCCTCCAATGGCCATCACAGCTGGCACATTGCGCTTATTCGAAGCCAGGAGCCAGGTGCTTCTCCTGGTCTCCCATGGGGTGCAGGGCCCAAGTACTTGGGCCATCCTCCACTGCACTCCCGGGCCACAGCAGAGAGCTGACCTGGAAGAGGGGCAACCGGGACAGACTCCAGCGCCCCGACCGGGACTAGAACCTGGAGTGCCGGTGCCACAGGCGGAGGATTAGCCTATTGAGCCATGGCACCGGCTCAAGTAACCTTCTAAAAGAGTCAGGGTGAACTCTTGCATGCAATTCTTTTTTATTTGTTTGAGAGATGGAGTAGGGGGAAAGCAAGAATAAAAATGGCAACAAGAAGGACTCAAGACAGACCTTAAGTTAACTTAACAGAAATCAAGAAAATGCCTGTACAAATCCATGCAATCCATGCAGTAATACACCAATAGTCTATATCACTTACTAAGTTTGTATCAAAGCAATAGTTAGAGAGAGTGTGTTAAACACAAAATGTAATATAACTTCCTTCAGTTTGTCAAAGAAATCTTGAAGACTGAACATTCAGAATATAATTCTTAATATTCAATTATTTTTGTCATCTGTTATGAAGAAAGAATGAATTTCATAGTAATTCTCTGTGAAATAATAAGAAATATGCATATTGGTCTCTGCCCCCAGTCCCTGGCAGTGAGAGTGATGCTAGGAGAATCTTTTGTTCTAACTTTTGAATTTTGACCTCTCTCTCTCTCTCTCTCTCTCTCACACACACACACACACACACACACACTTTCCAGGCACAGAGGTCTTAAACACCGCAGATTTTCCTAGGTGATAGGAGTGTCTTTTGATCTAATGAGGATATTCTTGTTGGGCTCCTGGATGGGGACTGATCTCCAGAAATACTAAGCTGGGATTATGAACTCAGAGCTTTCAGCCTCGCCTTTCATTCTGCAGAAAAGGAAGGAAGAAAGAAGCTAGAAAGGGAGTGAATTATCAGTCATGCCACGTGATGAAGCCTCTGTAAAACTCCCTGAGCCACAGGGTTCAGGGGACTTCCTGGTGGATGGACATACCTGTGTGTCAGGGGAGCAGTGCGCCCCAACTCCACAGGGACAGATGCTCTAAGCTCCAGACCTTCCAGCCCTTGCCCCTTGTACTTGCTGTTCATCTGTGTGCTTTATTATGCCCTTTCCCTGGAGACTGATGAACACGTGTCTTTCCCTGAAGGATGTGAGCAGCTCCAGGGAGGTAAGGAGACCCAAGGAGGGGATCCTGAGAATCCTGCTGTACAGCCAGGCCAACCCGGGCTTGCAAAGGGGGGTGCAGAGGGAGGGACTTCTGGGACTGAGTCCTCAATCTGTGAGCTCTGACCCTAGCTCAGGTAGATAGAATCAAAACTGAATTGAATTAAAGCACTTCTGGCTGGTGTCCACTGAGAGATTCTGCCAGAGAGTAGCTTGGTATATGACAAAAACCTCTACACCTCTGATGTCAGAAGTCTCTCGTGAAGGTTTTTCCCATATGATCATAGCACTACTGCAGAGGAAACATCCCATGCTCCCTTCTGTAAAAGAGAAAAGACCACAGTGGAGTTCTATTATTTCACGCACCATCTATTTTAGTCTGGTTACAAACACTTGCAAAACCAGTTTTATTTTATTTCTTTAATAAATTCTTTCTCTTAAAACACACAATTAAAATTAGTAAGAGAAGTGCAACATAACCTTAGATGAGAACGTATATGCTGCATTCCTTACAACAGCTGCTTCTATTTCGTTTTAAATTAGTCAAGCTGTAGTGGAGTCTTTGCAGCTGACCTTCCAGAACTGCAATACTATCAGCTCCACAGCACTTGTTTCTGATTTTGTGTATCTGAGATAACATTTCTTGTAATATTCAAAAAAGGAGGCTGCATTGTTTCTAAGAGAAAAATTGCTACATCATTTAAAGTATCATTGATATATATGAATGATACCTACTGAGGGCACAGGGAACTATAGACTTGACCTCACTCTTGCCTAATCTACCATTTCAGCTTTCAACAGAACCCCACCCAGAAAAACAAAACAGAGCCCACGTCTCCAACATTTGAAATGGACAGTGTAATCTGATTTTTAAAAAGCCACTCTCCTGTTAATTTCCATTCTTGATGAAATTCTGTGTTTATGTAGAATAATTCTCTTCTATGGAAAAAAATCTTATGTACACTAATTGGGGAATCCTTTCAACATCCTTAAGAAACAGGCAGGAAATTACTGTTGGTCAAGACATAAAGGAGGAGGGTTACAGGTGGGAGGGAAGCTATGGGAGGGGGAAAGCCATTGCAATGCATAAGCTGTACTTTGAAAATTTATATTTATTAAATAAAAGTTAAAAAAAAGATATATTTCTGAAGAAATTAGCAATTCCCAACTTGACTCTCACTGGGATTAAACATGACAATAGGTCTGATCTGATTTCATCATCATTTAAAAAATCTTCTATTATTTTTCACTTTATGTTTCTGTGTAGGAGCAAACTGTTGAAATCTTTACTTAATATATGCTAAACTGATCTTCTGTATATAAAGAGAATCGAAAATGAATCCTCATGTGAATGGAAGGGGAGAGGGAGTGGGAAAGGGGAGGGTTGCGGGTGGGAGGGACGTTATGGGGGGAAGCCATTGTAATCCATAAGCTGTACTTTGGAAATTTATATTCATTAAATAAAAGTTAAAAAAAAGACATAAAGGAAAACAAAGTGACACACTATTATTCAGCATGGGGAAAGGAAATCTAATGAATTGTTTCTTAGAAACTGCTAATTGGCTATTCTTCTCTGTTTAGAACCAAACAAGAGGAAATTGGTTTAAAATGTTCTTAAATTACAGTAGGGGGAACACAAGATAGCAATATCAAAGAATTCTCCAATGGTCAGTGAAAATGATACTGAATTAGGTTGCTTACTTATAGCATGCATATTACCAGTAGAGCATAAGATGATAGGTAAGGTTTGGGATCATGAAAGGCACAAAACACTCAACAGTCTTCTCCTGTATACCTTCCCCACCCTACCTCAGGAAATGCAGATACTTGTACTTGAATTATTCTCTCAGCACAGTTCTAGACCTCAGGACAACACTTTTCCTCTGCCTCTTGTCCAGGGCAGACATCAGAGTTCCATGACAGCATCTTGTGTTCATCTTTGTTCCTGTTTTGGAAGAGAGTAAAGATAAATTTCAGATATCATTTTCATCTAACTTATACCAGGAGAAAGGTAACCATTCACTTCACTCTCTTCCAAGCTCACGGAATTCTGTATCAGTGAAAAAAAATCACATAGAAGCCAATTTTGGATCAGGTAAGAAGAAGAGGGATACCATAGATAATCCTCTTATAAGGAGATTACCTAAGTGATTATTACTGGAATGAGTAAACCGGCTTAGTTTGTCTTGTAGTGCTTTAGGAACATATAACTGAAATTTTAAACACATATATTGTGATAAAACAGATATCTTAAATGGCAGGAAGCATAAATTTGACTAAATTTATCGGCTTAATTCCAAGGACTGTTCTCTTCAGAATTGTTCTCAAAAAATGTAACTTTGAGTGCAAACTTAAATTGGAAGTTCTCCCAAATATATGCCTTGTTTCCTGCCCATTAGAATTTAGACTAATTGAAATTTTATAAATAAGATAAAATCAATAATGTACACTGAATTCTCATGTATATATTCACCTTCTTCATTTATTCATTTTTTGTAAGAAATAATAATTTATGCCTCATGTTTGCAAGGTTATTCCACAAATATTCCATTATAGTAGGAAATCCAAGACAATTAAATGTTATCATCCTAGTGCCACAGTCACTGCTGTGGTCTATTCATTTCACACCACTCAATGATTTTATGAACTTCTACAAGTCCGTACCCTCTTGGCAAACCATGCCTATAAATAAAGCCATTCATCAATACTCTTAAAATAAAATGAAGGTTCATTTTTAAACATTCCAATCACATTTCTTCATTTTTGTATTAACAGAAAAATATTTTTCTTATAAAAATTTTTCACACATTTTAACATGTTTGAAAACATGCTTTTGTTTACAAAATTGACTTGTTTTGTAGTTAGCTCATATGATGAATGTAAGCTAAGCCATTTCTGGGAATATATTGATTAATAATTTGAGTGTATTTAATTGAAAAGAAGATTCCAATTAAATCAGTTCCTCGGTTTAACTGCATGCTGCATATGATTTTGTTTATGGCTAATACATATGTCAAGATATTACTCCTATTAAAAAATAATGTGTATTTCTTTTACAGATTAAAACACTAACATGGAGAATGTGATCTTAATATTGAATGCCCAGAATCCTCTTTATTTGTTTATACTCAAATTCACCCAATTTCCAACTTTTCCAAGACTTTTCCTCTGAAAAAGAATACCACAACATGGGAAAGTCAAGATAAATAGAACCAGAAATGAGATCTACATGTTTGAGTTTATGTATTTAAAAAAATTTCTGATCAAAGCTGGCATCAAGTGATTCAATAGCCTGTTTGGGATAACAACTAGAGTCATTCCACCTTTTATTTTGTTCTGGTTATTTTTTCAGGACAAAAATATTCAAGTTTAATTTCTGAATACTTTCCATTGTTCAAGACAAACCCAAGCTCTTTGACATGGTCTGTTAGAGCATACTCTGGCTCCCACCACCCTAGCCTTTGGCTTCTCACTGCCGCTCCCACTCCTATAACAAACACAGCCTATTTCAGCTTCTCAGTGGTTCCCTGCTCTTATTATCCTCCTTCAGCACCAGCGTTCTTAATCAAGCTTTGGCTTTAAGCAAAGTCCTTCTAATTCTCTTCTCAACAAGAGTACTCTTACTGATTTGAAAAATGTCCCCTTATTTGTTAGAATTAAATGTGTTAATGATCATAAGTTACATTTAATAGTGTCAGCACATAACGGTCAATGAAAGCTTATTACTATACAAAAATAGCCCCTAACTCTGAAGCCTTTTCTCACATCACCCATCTTCACAGTCAAAATTAGTTTCTTCTTCTGTGATCCCACAGCTCTTTGTTGATATTTCTATATTATTTATGACACATGTATTAGATCCTGTACCTTTTAAAAATATATCTATTGTATTTTGTACTTTTTTCTCTATGTTTGAGTCCTTAACTAAGGAAATACACAGTTCTTTATTTTCATTTTCCATAGATCCACTGTTTATGATTCCTTTTTCTAAGTAAATACAATTTCCTAATTCATGTTTTCCAAATATATGCATCATTAGTATACAGTGCCTGCCTGGCATACTGCCTAGTACATGGGAGTATTCAGTAAGTGTTTACTAAGTAAATTTTTAATGTCTTCTTTATGTCTATTTCACTATGAGTGACTTGGTAGAAAACATTCCTTTTTCATGGCCGATGATCTGCATGAAGTGAATTTTGTGATGTGTACCGAGTTGCAATGGAGTTGTTGGATTATGGTAAGGAAGCAACCACAGAATGCATCCATATCTAAGAAATTGCTCTGTCTTATCTTCCTCCACATGGGCAGTACAAACCAACTCACTATTAGTATGGAGCATAATAAACCTTTCATTTAGATTAGGTCAAGTCAGTACTAACAAGATTTTATCATGACTGCAAAATATCAATTATATTGGTATTAGTTGTGAGAAACAGTTATTGGATACACAGAAGTTACAAATACAACTAGAATTTTCTTAACTATTGCATTCTAGGCTAATGTGAGAATGGGCATTTCATGTAGCAGTTAATAACCACTTTGGATGCCCACATCCCATATCAGAGTGCCTGAGTTCAAGTGCAGATTCTGCACTTACTTCCAACTTCTTGCTATTGTGCATCATTGAAGGCAAAGATTATGGCTCCAATAATTATGTCCCTGGACACATGTGGGGGATCTTGGTTGAGTTCTGGGCTCCTGGCTTCAACCAGATCCAGACCCAGCTGTTGCAGGGGCGTAAATTAACAGAAGTGTGATCTGTCTCTGTTTTTTTTTGTATTTTAAATTAATAAAATACATTTTACAGAGTTAAATAATTAATAAAACAGTATTTTGATTTCCCTCTATCAAAAGCTCAAAACATTAAAAAAATGAAATCATATCAAAGTGTATAGAAGCTACCAATGGTCAAAGCTTGAAATAATCTGACCAATTTTATATAAGCACACATACACACACACACACACACACACACACGGTATTAAATTGTAACTCATATTTCTATAAAATAATGGAATAAATAAAAGGGCAAAAAGAACAGCTACTCCTCAGAACAAATTATATGTTATACATTTATAATGTTTGCAGGCAATAGCATAAACGAGTACCAAAATCTTGCACAAACATATGATACATAACAGGATATTTGGAATCTTAAGCTATCTCTCCATTGGAACGAACCTTTCTAAGGGAAAATAAATGAAAATCTCACATTGGAGAAAACTGACTGTGATTACCTTTCACGGGTGGTCAAAGTTAACACCACTTAGTAAGAAGATATATGACATTAGACACATCTGGATATGATACACGGAGAAGGAATACATCACTTCTGAGGTATTCTTGCTAAAAATGAAAAAGCTTGTATTAGCCCATTTTTTGTTGCTACAACAAAATATTTGATGCTGGGGAATGAATGAAGAGATTTATTTAGCTCACAGTTTTGGAAGTCCAAAAGCACAGTACCACTTTCTGCTCATGTAAGAAATGTAAGGCTCTGGTAAGGGCCTCCAGCCTGTATCACATCATGGTGGGTGGCATCACCCTGAAGTGCATGTAAGAATGAGGGCTCTCTGGAGGTGTGGCTCGGCTCTCTCGGCCGCTAGTGGGAGCTCTTCGGGATGCTCTTTCCTGCCTTGCAAATCCACAGAGCCTCAGCCCCTCTCTGCTCACCAACTCAATCAGAAATACTTGTTTTGCTCCTTCTGCACCAGGAACTGTCTCAGGCAGAGAGAGCAAAACCCCTAGAAATGTGCACCTTGTAGACCCCTCAGTGTCCAGAGGCCCTGACCCCCCCACCCCCCGCCCCACTGTTCTCCAGCCCACGTGTCTGCATGGCTGGGTCCTGTGCTAGCACCCCACTGTCTGGGTCTTCGGCACCCCAGAAGTTAGGCACCCTTGTCTGATGCCCAGTGCTGTCGCAGGCCTGGAGGCCACTGGACCAGTAGGGAGTGGTTAGATTTGAACCCAGCTCTGTCTCATTGCAAAGTCCTTGTCTTGCTCTGTGCCACCAGCTTTTGTGCGGCCTGGGACAGATCTGCCGGCCCTGGACCTCGGCTGCCTGCCCTGGCCAGTGTGTGGATGGGATGGAGTCTCCGTCGGACCTGCCGCAGCTACGCTGAGGGTTCTGGGGACAGGGAGGCCTCTCCCCTGTACCCCACAGCTGCTCATTGCCCTGTGTTGACAGCAGGAAACACTTGGGTGGGCAGAATACCCACCCACCCTTGGGCCATTCAGTCTGGGGGAACTGAACTGACACGAAGTGACCTAGACCAAGGGCGGAAGTGGCCAGTGGCTGCCCACACAGACCTGGAGAGTCCGGGGTGGGGGATGGAGTCGGGGGTCGTGGAAGGCACTGCAGACGAGGCGAGGACTCCGTGCTGGGCTGCTGGGGTGGATGTACCAGCGTGGTTGAGAATCGCCTGCTGGGAGGCTGGCTGGGGGCAGAGGGCAGAGGGCAGAGGCCATGTGGGCCCTTGTCCTTGCCTGACAGGTGAGCACAGATGTGGAGGGGCAGCACTGCTTGCTACACCCAGCCTGGGGCAGGCAGTCAGGCACCCCGGGGGCTGTCAGGAGGAAGCTGAGCCAGACAGGAGACCCAAGGCCTGCAGGTGCTGGCTTTTTCCATGGTGTGTGGCCACACGGCTGAGTGCAGAAATGAAGTGGGAACAGCACCTGACCCCAGGTGCACACCTGCCGTGCACTCCTCTCCTGCCACTGGCTCTGCTGCACAATGGCCAGGCAGTGACCTCGTTGTTGTCTCCTTTTTAAAAGATTTATATGGGGGGGCCGGCGCTGTGGGTAAAACACTGCGAGCCATGCCTGCATCGCATTTGGGCGCTGGGTTGAGTCTGGGCTGCCCCGCTTCTGATCCAGCTCTCTGCTATGGCCTGGGAAAGCAGAGGAGGGTGGCCTAACTCCTTGGGCCCTTGCATCCACATGGGA